AAAAAGAGAAGAGATAATGCGCCATTACAATGCTATCAAATTTAACAAGGAATGCAATAAGGTAGAAGGGTACTTAAAGGTCATAGAAAAGTATTTAGCAGACAATTGAGAATTAGCATAGTATGTAGTGAGTTCGTTACAATAGTACCACAAGTCAAGTTAGTATTGGACCAGATGTAGTATCATTTTTGACTGAGCAATAAACTATCTTTTGGTTCTTTTTTGATCATTGTGTATATTAAATCTAATCTTTCAAGGTCGTGTTTCATGCTTGCTAATAACCTTGAAAGCTTGAATAACACTTCAAATAATGCATTTTATATGCCATCAAGTATAATATCCACTTCGAATGGTAATATCCAGAATAAAGAATTTCTTTCAAGATTGTAGTACCAAATATGTTGATCTACCTAATTATTTGAAGAAATTCATATATCTTTTAAATATTTTCATGATAATTTCAACCTTCTTGAAGAAACTTAAATATTTTATTTGATAATTCTATAGATGATAATAATTAAAATGCATTTATTAATTGTTGATTTTTCATATTACAAAGAAGTTTTGTAAGCTAATCTTCTAATTCATTTTTTAAAAATTTATACCATCTAATTGTTAAGAATTAGTCTTTAGTTTTGATGGATGTAATAAAAAAAAATTAAAAAAATTTATATATTTGTAATATTTTTGAATGATTCATATGTACATTTACTAGTATGATGTCCTTGCTTATATTCAAGATATTTCAATTCATTGTGGCTCTATTTTAAATCTAAGACCTTTATCACTTTTAACTTTTGATTATTTATTTCAATAAGAGGTGATGGTAGCTATTTTTTTCTTGGTATATTGATAGTATAAGGTTTAAGAGATTCAATATGAATATGATGAATATTTATCAACTATAATAAATAAAATTTACATGTAATCAAATTAATTTATTTTTAAATAATAAACAAGTTGAGTCTTTAATAATCAAGCTTATTACAAAGTCACATAGACTTGATATTAAAATAAAGTAATCATAGCTTATTAATAACTTTAAATATAATTTATTCTTCTTAAAAATATTAGCATTTATTTTTCAATACTCTTGAGCTTATTTTAGCTATTTTTTATTATCAAGTAGAATCATACTATTTTGCTTGCCAATTATTTTATTGCTAGATTTTTAACTTTTGAAAAATAAAAAGTATAAAATTAGAAATAATAATCATAATTAAAAAATTAAAAACTATTATGTAGCCAAATATATATTTTTATTATATGAAATTTGTGCTAATGACGAGAGTTATTTAATTATCTTTGTGATACTTAATAATACACCATAAATACTATTTTAGTACTAAGTTCATATATTATTATTATCTTTTAATTTGTATATGAAGAATTAAAAATAATTATATATTAACTTTTAATACATTAAAGAATAACTTCTACAATCATAAAACAAATTAAAATCTTTAATTAGATATAACACATTGAAATAGATGATTAACATATTATAAATAAATTTTTTGATAAAATTAAATAAATTTGAGTCATTACAAATGTTATTTTATTTTTTTAAAAGAATCTATTATTATATTTGGATAAAATTAATTATAAAGAATATTATTAGCTATAATTATTAGCCTAGTGGCTCAAAGATTCAAGTACTTTGGTTTTGAAAGAATACTTTGCTATTAATCACATGTAATATCTCATTTTTTTATGTAATACTAGAATATCTAGAGAAGGTATTTGACAAGCCTTATAGTTTCTAAAATTACTTATAATATTAAATATAAGTTATGATAAAATCATGCTTTAATAGACTTAAAAATCATTTAAGACATGTCTTGATATAAAATATTGGAAATTCTTATTATTTGTAAAAATTATGATAATTTTTTAAAAATCTTTTTGAATGTTAGATAAAGTTCTTTATAAGATTTTTATTAAGTTATTCCTTCAAAATATCAATTTATCCTTCAAAAAGTTAAAAATTGATCCAAATAGTAGTTGAATTTGTTCTTAAAGTTTGCTTATACAATCATGAGTTTAGTATCTTGATAATATATCAACATTCTTCTTGTTAAGAATATCTTAATATATTTTTTATATTTCTTTGAGATACTACTACAATCTCTATTTGAATGAAGACTAGATATTGCATAAACAACAAATAAATCTTCATCTTTTATAATTTTCATAAATTTCATTGGTTTAATAAATAAAAATAAAAATATTCTATTAGTATTTAAACTAAATCTTAAAGTGATATTTTTATTATTTCTAATTAATATTGAGATTATATAATTTAAATCAAGTAAAGTCAAATACCAATAGATTTGAAGGACATTAAATAATATTGGAGAAAATATTAGATGCTTAATCCTATAACACTACTTTCAATAGCTTGGTATTTTTTATAACACTTTCTAATACAAGTAGTTATCTATCAATAACTTCTTCTAAAGTTGCTCAAATTTTCTTCAACAATATATTTTTTTTTTTTTTGTTGCAATAGAATTTTTTTATCCATAAAACATATTAAGGCCCATGTATCCAATAGTATTTGAGCTGAAAATCCACAACTTGAAGTTTTAAAAATTATAAGAGTTTTAAAATAAGATGCAAAATGTGATGGTAGTGTGAAACTTGTATTTGATAGTTGTAGTCTAAAGCTATTCAATTGCAAGGTTCTTACTACAACTAGGTGTCTTGTTTCCTAATTTTTAATGTTAGAGTATATTCTTTGAGCCTTGAATCTACAAGATTTGATGCAATAGTCTTGTACTTTGTAGTTTTTTTTTTTTACAATATAAACACAGATTTTTATAGTAATATATATATATATATATATATATATATATATAATTAATTAAATTATTAATAATTTAAATTAGATTGTATTAATCAATATAGATATTGACTTTAATAGATAGATTTATAAGACTTAGAAGTTGATATCATTACTTGATTTGTCTCTTTCCAACCAAATCTTTGTTCTTGGCATCTTTTAAAGAGTCATTTCTCATATGCAATTACGTGAATAATAATTTTTTCTAATGAATCTATTTTTTGCATTATAAATAATAGATTTTTTCCATTATCTTTAAACAACATCAAATTTGATTTATAAGATTCTTATCATTTCAATCCACATTACAAGAAAGTTGTTAGAATTTTATTGCTTAAATAAGAAATGAATGTAACATTTGCCATAGTGACTTAAGTTTTGTTTATGCTATTCTTTCTTAATCACTTTTTCCAAATGTGGCTTTAAACACATCCAAAAATAAATTTAAATCAAACAAAAGTTGTGAATTTTTTTATTTATTAATGGTACAATCAAAAAAGAGAATTTCTAAATAGAAGTGTGATCTTATATTCTACTTAAGTAATACCATGAAGATATTGAGAAAGATATAATCTTAAGAAGAACTTGATGTAAAAAGTCTTAAAATTATTATCTTATTCTATTGAACTTCTTTAAGATAAAGATCTTTGGTTCTTTTCTACTTATAGTAGCAAGACCTTTAGAATTCACTTTTAAAGTTGGTCTACTTGTACATGCTTCTTTCAATTACACAACTTCTTGATATAAAATTTAAACTTTATTATTGACTTTTTTGGTAGTAATAATAGTATTTCTTAAGTTAAGATTCTTAATACATGAGATTTTTGTTCAAAGAATGTTAAAAAAAATTCACAAAGATTTGTAATTTTTGCAAAATCCATTTTCACTTCTTCCAAGTTAAGCATCTATAGTTTGTTTTCCTTCCATCTATATTCGTTTGGATTTGGAATTGAAAAATTCAACAAATATAAAAGTCAAATTAAATAAAGATAATCCACAACCTTTAATACCAATTTTTTTTCTATTTAATATATTAAATATGCTTCTAATTATATTTAGTTACTTTTATTTACTTATATAATAAAAATATTTATTACAAAATCATGTTTTAAAATAGGTTTTATTTTTTGTATAATCTTTAAAAAAAACTTTAAAAAATAATATTTTTTGCTTAATGTTGATAGCCAATTTTAAACAAAAATATATTTTTTAATACCAAATAATTGCTATGCTTTAAATTAAGAATTTTTTTTTTTTTTTTATATCAACTATACTAGAATTTTGTATGCATAAATTGAATTATTTCTAAAAACCCATTTCTATTATCAAAGTTTAATTACATATTTTAAAACATAAAATTTAATTATAATATATTTCTAAGGATTAAAATCTTAATAGGATTACTTCATACAATTAAATTGAACAATGCTGTAGATAAGATAAAATAAAAATTTCAATCTGGATACTAAATTTCCAAAAACGAATATGATTGTAATAAAATTAACTTAGAAAACCAACTTGTTATTTGTTAAATATCCATATTTACTGGTTGTAAGAACAACAGCATAAATTGGTGCAATTGTTGAACCAACATTTTCCACTTAAATATGAAAATTTTGTATCTCTAGAACTCACAATGTTTAACAAAACAACTCCATTTTGAGTATACTTATAAAAGTTATGAGTGAAATTAAGTTCAATCACTATACAATATAATATGATTTTAGCATATATTGTATAATACAACTTGAAATGCAATAAACTGTTGTATATTCATTGGGTTCTGTGATACGTGCAAGGAACAAGAAAAGCTTTGATAATCAACCCTACATGTGTCCTCTGATGAGATCTCAAATTTGTGAAGAGCAGGGGAATGCAATTTTGAGGCATTCCACAACTGTATAAAGAAGGAATTATTACTTGAATCGTTTTGCCACATGAAATTGTCATCTATACAAACAAACAAACACCTCATATTTATTCTTTTTTAAAAAGGCACGTGAAATGATACGTGCAATTCAATTTCAATGTACAATAAAACTCTATTTCAATGTACAATAAAGCTTGATGAAATGACACCTTCGCTGCTGAAGCTTTATTGTACATTGAAATTGTGCAATGATACGTGCAATTCAATTTCAATGTACAAGAAAAATTGCAAGACTTAATGGATTGAAGAAATCAAGGAAAAGCTTTCAGACCTCGCAACCAATTCACAAAAGCAGGATCCACTCCTGCAAAACAGCTGTACATCTATATACATGTCAATTGGAATCAATACATGTCTCTAAAAATAGAAGCATGATCAAGGATTTTTAGAAATAGGCGATGCGGAAGAACCAGGGGATCATGAACACCACAATCATGGATGCGAGCAATGAGTTCCTGATGAGTTGATTTGCCCACATGTACCTAACAACACAACAAGGATTAAGAAAATGTAGGTTGCTTAGAACTGAGATCTGGTTCCAAAAGGAACAGTTACTAATTAACAAATTCAGCAGACAATTTGGCATACACAAAGATCAAAGACGATTTCAGTGCACATCAAGAAGCAAATTCCACCCATATCGACCACCACGTACATGAGGCAATATGTCCAAATAAAAGTAATAACACATTGTTCTGAAAGACTCTGTACAAGCAAAGACGCAGGGTAAGGACTTGAACTACGACTTACTGACTTCAGAGTACTGTTGTTTCCAGAACACATGGCAGTGCTGGCAAGATACCAGCTGCATTGTTTTAATAAATTGAGCGTAAATTATAAAGCCCAAATGAATGTGGCACTACTCACTTCAACAAAACCTTTCATCACGTAATTTACTTTTTAAAATATGAGATTATCCTTACGGCACTAAAAATACATTTCCGCACGAGTTGGCGCTTCCAGCATTACCTAAGCCTTGACATAGCCGTCGATCTGACGAATTCCCGGTGTGTCTGTGCATCAGCTCCGTCAGCTTCGAGACGTGAAGCAGTGCTATTCACAGGCTCAGGAATACGTACGTTCTTCACAGTTTCACCACAAATCTCGCACACGGTGTTACCACGGATCTTGAACCATTCCTCTGCGCAGTCGCGGTGGCAGAGGCCAAGATCTTGTTTGCAAGCACAGCCAAGCTCAATGCGCTCGCTGTTCCCGGAGCTGAACCCCAGATGGCATACCCGGCACGCTGCCTCTCCATCAGCTGCGTCATCCTTGGAAGAATTACTCACATGTTTGCCTTCTCCTTTGAGACCCAGTTCCATGTCATTACCCACATTGTCATACTCGGGATTTGGCTTCTTTAAATCCGAGCCTTCTCCATTCAGCCTTCCAGCCTGAGGTGCCTGGGGTGCAGGCAAATCTTCTCCCAGGTCGACAACAACATACTCTTCATCATACTCACGTGCAGAAGGTGCTCTTGTTCCAATCCGTGCTGGCGATGTGTTGGCTAGCTCCAGTGCATTAGCAATTGCCGGGTCGCCGCAGAAAGATGCTCTTTCAGAGGTTTGCAATGGCAAGTGTTGCATTCCACCTTTCATAGTTGCTATAGTTTGATACTCATCAGTGATAGACGTTGCCCATTATAGAGTCCTATTTGTCTGCTTCATGAATAACTTTGTTAATCTCAAAAGGTCATGCGGCTGCAACGTTTTGTATCACCTTCAAAGTTTTGCCCCAGCATTACCACGGCCTCTCTAGCTGCCGATAGCAGATTATATTTATCTCAACCTTCTTTCAGCCATGCAGATGTAACGAACTTCACCAAAAACAAATCGTAAATTAAGATGTAGATATTGACAGAGTTTCAACGCACGAAAGACGCCAGATACGAGCTCTGCACCAGAAAAATACGATTAAAAAACGTAACAAGATGAGAATTTATGAACAAGTCAAAGAGATTAATCCGCTTCATCAATAAAAATCAAGGTAAACATTACCACTGCTTCTCATTTTCACGACTTTCTTTTCAAATAAGTATGATTATGTAATAGTAAGCAGAATGCTGTGTCCTACAAACGAAAAACTACTCAAACAATGAGCTAAAATATAGCCCTCACAATGGAACAAAACTCTAGAGTTCCATTCCACATCAATGACCATTTCAAACGGCCAACACAGAAAGCTCCATAGCTCATCAATCACTCACCACGTTCAATACATGCAACAGAAGCAACCACTTCTAGCTCAAACCCTAGTTCAACTCTAGTAATAAATAAATTGCGAGCATCGCAATTAGTGCGAATCTTCAACAACATATATTCAAAGTGTAGTGTAATCGAATAAAACGTCCTTACGTCCTTTGTTGCATGCCCACTACTCAAATCAGACTACTTTTCAAAATGCCGTGTTGTATTCGAATGCTACTTCTCCCTCTTAATAGCGGTCTACAGAAGTGAAAGTCATCAAACAAACAGTAAGCGTGCAATACAACTCTCATTGCAAAACAGTGACCACTTCAACTACCAACGTTGAAGGCTCCGAAATTCAGAAACCCCCACCACGTTCAAAGTGCAACAGATGCCACCTCTCAATACCTGAACCCTTCGACCCATCACACCGTTCAATTCCTGTAAGCAATCATGAGGGGAGAAGTCGACACAACTTCGGAAGCAACCATTCCACCTAACCCCAAAACCTAAAGGCGTGAATAAACCGTGCAATTATCTAACCAGCAGCATGGAAGAACAATCAACCCACCGGTCACTCTTTCCTTCAACCCAAAACCTTTGCACTCCAGATAAGTCCCCCCCCCCAAAAAAAAAAAAAAAAAAAAAACCTTGGATCCGAATTCCTAATCCACTACATTCACCGTCCAATACTGCACAAACATCAACACGAAACACACTACAGATTCTTATATAGGCTCACAGCTTTGCAGATTTCGACGAATAGTGCATCCCCATGGCAAAGCACAATGATGTGGGGGTGTTGCCTCAGAACCCAAATGCCTCGTTCTCCATTTCCTGGAGGGTTCTGAGGCGGAGATCCTACTTTGCTTCAAGGAAGAGATCTTTTTAAAAAGGGCTTTGAAAAATCATGTACTTGGTATAATGGGGTTGAAATAATGATTCGTAAATGAGTGATCATATCTTGTCAAGATGTGGATCGTGAACCTCAAACAAGCACGCGCTGTTTAGTTCTGGAGTCGGAAAATCCATACTGATACGGCTATTTTCAGTTATGTGTGACAAGACACAAATAGAATAAAAAGTGAGATGGTTATCTGCTCGATTTTGTAGGCGTAGTGGTTCTCAGGAACCGTTAATGATTTCAGGTTGTGATTCAGAGATTCGTTAATCTGTTCCCCTGATGTGTGTGTACAGGGGAGGGGTAATTGACTGCATGATTGTCAGCTCATTCAGCGTGTGAACAAGCTCAAACAAATGATCAAATCCGATAAAACTTTTCCACAACGTCAAGGATTAAATCGACATACACACAATGGAGGTGGAGTTCAGATCCAGGCAAACACCTTGGTTATTGGGAAAGTTGTGATAGTATGACTGAATTGCTTTCACAACCAGGGCAATTATGAAGACTCTCGTGAATGTAATTATCACAATCAAAGCAGAAATGCTGTCTACACCGCGGGCATTCAAGGCGGACTCCTTTCACCTTCCCACCTGCAATCCACCGAAAGAGCCTGTTAACATCCGACGCATGTCTAAAAAATGTAGTAATTAGAACATTTACATCATGTCAGAGGATAACAGAGATTCACACAGCCGTGGATTTCCACTAAGATGGTTTTTAAAATTGTGGAGCTCGGAATGTACCTGGGGTGGGAAGCTCCTGCAAGCACCCATAGCAACTCTTGGACAGACTTTGGCGTCCATTTGCAGACGCTAAGTTCTCAACCTCTTCGAAAGGAGACACAGGAAAGAGATGATGATACGATCTCGCAAGGTGTGGCGACGAAACCAAAGTTAAACCACAGATGTGACATTGGGTTGGAAGCTCACAGACTCTGGCCTTGCAGCGTGGGCAAGTGTAGCCTCCTCCCATCTTCACTTCTCTATGACAAGCGCAGAGGGCCACTGCATCTTCGGCCCCCCTCTGAGGAAATCCCATACGTACTAAGCTTGCCACGGACATCTCAGCTTGCGCTGCTGGTGGAGGAGCATGCTCCATAATAAGTTCCTTCAAATGACCCTGTTATGAAAAACATGGTTACGAATAGATAGAGGTAACTAAAATTTACCAAAGCAATGTCATGAAACTTCACTGCTCTTATGGATCTATCACCGAACATGATCAGCTTCTGATATGGACTTCTCCAAAACACCACTTTAAATGTCTACTCCAGTACGGCTAACCCTAAACCGACGTAAAAATCAAGAAAATTATAAGAAATCAAAGATCTTCACGTTTGAAGATCCTAGAATATTAACCTGCATCTCAAGCAGAATAAGAGAGGCTTGTGACACGGTGAAAACCTAATTCAACAGCAAGAAACGAATGAGAATTATCACAATCCAAACACGATACCTATGCTCTTGAAATGATAGTTCCACAAAGTTTACCTCGTTCGTGGCCACAGAATACATGCCTCCAGTTTGTTCACATAGAAGTTTACATATGTAAATCTCTGCTGATAGACCAACGACAGAGCAACGAATATTGGCCTTTTTACATTCTTGCACTGTTTCCATTACGTCTCCAGGGTCAATCGTACTCAAGGCTGAATAGACGAGCAATACTTCTCGATGCCCGTAACTTGGTATTTGAGTCAAATAACCCCGTGCCAGATCTAAACCGTTTTGGATTGAAGCATCTCCTGTAGACTCCATGTTACTTCGAAGAGCCCGAATGTGAGTCTCGGGGCTACCGCTCAAATCTGTCAGTTGGTGCGCAATCCCATCCTTGAGCAGTATAACCCCTAGGTGGCTCAATGGGTTCTGGTCGAAAAATTCCCGGACAAAAGCCTCCACGCAATCAACCACAATGCCCATGCGACTTGGACGAAGATCCATCTCCGCAGCTGCCTGGGCAGCCATAAGCTCGTTTACAACAACTCATTCCTATCTCCGCTTGTGACTCGGAGACCTGAACTCAACCTCCTCACTAACTTTGTGACCGTCTTACTCTACAATTAAATTAACTTACGAATCTCAGAAACGGACTTAACAAGCAGTTGAAAGGTAATGCAGTCGAAACTTTTTGGCATAATACAAATAGAAGAAAACCACCGCTGAGCTCGAAGGACAAAAACGACAGACATTGCCCTGAATCGCAAGAGCTGAATTCACCCCGAGAGGCAAAGCCCTAGTAACAGACACACGCAAGAGGAGGCTAAACTCACTCGCGAGAAATCCAGCAGCACGAAGAGGTACCGGATGATGCCGCGCTGAATACGAGGCCCCGCCATGGCGGACATACGCTTACGGTGCTGGCGCTGTTGCTGCGCCACATCAACGCGCAACATTCCCGACTCATCTTCCTGGAGCTCTTCCCAGGAGCGCTCGTCCGCGTATTGGCGCTCGAAGGCACCCCGGTCGGCCATGGGTTCGTCCTCCTCCACGCCATCGTCCTCGAAGTCCAACTGCAACGGCACCTCCCGCTCATCCATGTCCATCATCTCTCCCTCCTCCGGGTTCCGTCCTCTCCTCAGTCCTCCGCCACCACAAATTTTGCAACAACAACAACACAAGAGGATGCGAGGCGCACTAAAGCAACACTGTATCAATAGAGGAAACGGACGTTACAGGAGGAGTAGGAAGGAGGAGGAAGAGGAGGAGGTAGGAGAAGAGATTGAGGTAGGGCTGGAAACCTCCTTAAACCCCGATGGGCTGGCTGGCTGGAACAAACAGAGGGCCACATCCCACCTTCGTTCCTTCCTTCGCTATTCTGTCTCAATGCTGGTAGTCAGTGAGTCCAAATGCACACACACTCATACACACACACACCGCGAGCCAAGCACATCGACGGAAGAGAACGACGGAGCGCTGGGCCCGCTCCCGCCACTCTCTTCCATGAAAATGACGTGGCATGGCGCGCCATGTCATGGTTGGGCACGTCATGCGTTGAATTATGTACACGTCATTATATAAATATATATATATATATATATAGATAAAATTGAGGATATTTTGGATTGTGATGGTTAGATTATTTCTTTGTGATGGATAGAAATAAAGTTGTGAGCATTTCAAGGATGACTTGGAGAATAAAAATGTGAGGTGTAAAAGGCTACTTAAGAAAGAGTGGCATTGTTTTCTTGGTGAAGTTGAGAGTTGGAAATGATGTATCTAAAAATAAAATAATTATACTATCTTTTGTATTTTAAGTAAAAAATAATAATTTTTAACAAAAAAAAATATATATTTATATTTATAGATATTTATAAGAAAATGTTAAATTGATTCCATCTGCTATTACTTCAACCCATCCATTATCAAAATGAGTAGGTTCTCTATTTCCAATCTAAATCCTTCCATTCTCTCCATTTTTTTGTGTGTTTTCAAACCCCCCTCCCCCCCCTTCCTTCCCTTCTCATCCTTCTACCATGTCTCTCATTGATTTTTTATATTATCAAGGGTAGTGTCACGGACACAAAATACAGACTTGAAAACTAACAAGAAGTTCAAGAAGAAGTGACAGAACTAGATTAAACAGATGAGTACAAGAACAACACCAGAAAGGTGAGCTAGAACTCCAAGAAATGTGTTGTCGAGACTGAAGAACTCTTCAGCCTCGATCCCTATATATACTCCTACTTAGGAAGCTTCTCGAGCTACTTCTATTAACTAGGAAGCTTCTAGAAACTTCTCTTCTAGAAGGTTCCAGAGACTTCTTTTCTAGAAGCTTCTAGAAACTTCTCTCTAAAAGGTTCCAGAGGCTTCTCTTCTAGAAGGTTCCAGAGGCTTGTTTTCTAGAAGGTTCTAGAAACTTCTCTCTAGAAAGTTCTAAGGAATATGTCCCTAACATCACCCCCTCCTTTAGCTTCAAAGTCTCTGAGAAGCAATGTTGTTGATCAGTACCAACGCAAGAAAATGAAGATCTGTCGCATAACTTCTGCTATGAACTCCAACTGTTGTTCACGAGGCAAGTGGTTCATCGACCCTTGAAGCCAACAATAGTGGCCCACGCCTTCGACTTCTGACCAAGCATGAACTTCCGTGTCCTCATTGTGAAATTGTCCTGCAAACACGCCTTCTAGCTGATCATCGTAAGCAGGTTCGATCTCAAATACGATCACCAGTGATTGGTTACTCGGTATCCTCCGTCGTCGTCGTGGTACATGTAGTTCTTCATCTTGGAGTCGCCTTCGTGAGCTACTCAGTTGCGATACTCTGACTGGCATAGTATCTATCTCTTGGCTATTCATATCAAAAGACCAAACTACGATCTATCTCGGAGAAAATAACTACATCAACTACAAATTTTGCTGGTGCTCTCCCCTTTTCTTATATTGTTGGGAGAACAAGCTTTAGAAAGAAGCTATCGTCGAATTGATTTAGGTTTATCAGGATGTCCTTGGTGAAACTCCTGTACCTTTTGTGGCGCATTCGCAAGATTTTCAGCTGGCTCCCACGTTCGCTCATTAATGTCATAGCCACACCAATGAACAAGATATTTTAACTTTTCCCACCTTCGCCGTGAATCCAATATCTTTTCAACCTCGTATTCTTCGTGGTTCTCGATTTCAATACTAGGTAGCGAACATTGCACTCTTTCAGGAAAAGATGACTCTCGATAAGGTTCCAACAGAGAAACATGAAAGACTGGATGTACCTTCATAGAGGCCGGTAATTCCAGCCGGTATGCCACTAGATTAATTTGCTTCTGGATGATAAATGGTCCCAATCTTCGATAGTCCAACTTATCACATGGTCGCTTGGTCTTGATATTTCGTCGAAGAAGCCAGGCTTTGTCTCCAACTTTGAAAGTAGGTGCTTGATTCCGAAATCTATCTGCAGACGTCTTATAGGATTCTTGAGCAGATTGTAATTGAAGCTTCAACATAGTTTGAAGCTCTGATAGTTGCTTCGCAAATCCTTCAACTGCTAGATTGTTATTTGTTGACGGACTCAATAAATCAAGCTTCGGATGATATCCATAGTTGGAAAAGAATGGTGTTTGTTGAGTCGACGCATGGAGGGTGTTGTTATATGCAAACTCGACTAGCGGTAGATATGCAGTCCAATCGTCTTGCTGATAGTTGATGCTGCATCGTAAGTACTGCTCCAAGACTTGGTTCACCCGTTCCGTTTGGCCATCAATTTGAGGATGAAAAGCTGAAGAAAGCTTAATATCCACCTTCAATATCCCAAAGAGAGATCTCCAAAACTTTGACACGAACTGGGTACCTCGATTTGATATGATGTCATGTGGTAGTCTATGATATCGATACACATTATCGAGAAAGAGTCTTGCTGTGACTTCACTGGACGATGTCTTCTTACAAGGAACAAAGTATGCCATCTTCGTAAGCTAATCTACCACGACAAAGATGCTGTCAAATGAGTTTGATGATGGCAAGTCCGTGATGAAGTCCATAGAAATTGAAGACCATGGTCGACGTGGAATTGGCAATGGCTGTAGAAGTCCATAAGGGCGATGCCGAGGATTCTTAGATCTTGAACAGATGTCACAAGAGAGGACAAAATCTTTCACATTCTTCTACATCTGGGGCCACCAAAAATCTCGAGAAATAAGCTCCAAGGTCTTGTTGAATCCAAAATGTCCCGCAGTTGGAAAATCATGGCGAGATTGAAGAACTCGGAGTCGTGCTGGTCCTTTTGGAATGTACAATCGCTCTTCAAAGTATAAAAGATCTCCCTCCGCCTTGAACTTGTCGTCATTGGTACGTTGCTTGATATCAATCGCTATTGAATCTTTAATGGTCATAGCACGTACCTGGTTTAGGAAGTCAGTATCAAATGATACAATAGTAGCACAAAGTTGAAATCTCTCTGGCTTCAATAACGTTGTACATTGTTGATCAAACGCTACTTCTCCAGCCTTTGGTGCAAGATACGATCTCCTTGATAAAGCATCGGATAGTCCTTGCTGCCTTCCAGGTCTGTAAGTGATAACAAAATCGAATCTAGATAGCGACATATTCCACCGAGCTTGACGCCGATTTAAAACTCGAGCCGTCATGAAATACTCCAAATTCTTGTGATCCGTATATATGGTTACTGGATGTACAGCTCCTTCAAGAAAGTGATGCCATTCTTCGAAAGAATCCACTATAGCAAGAAGTTCCTTATCGTGGATCTCATAATTGATTTCAGCAGCAGAGAACTTTCGAGAATAGAATGCAACTGGATGGAGCTTCTTATCTTCACTCATTTGTGAAAGCACAGCTCCCAAAGCAAAATCTAAAGCATCAGTTTCTAAATAGAAGGCCTTTGTAAAGTCTGGATGTACCAAAATTGGAGCTGTAGTAAATGCTGTCTTCAAATCTTGAAACGCCTTCTCCGCCAAAGGTCCCCATTCCAACTTATCCTTGCATGTTAATCGAGTGAGAGGAGCAGCAACTTGAGAATAATTCTTGATGAAGATCCGATAGAAGTTAGCAAAACCAAGAAAGCATTGTACGTCTCTAACCGTCTTCGGAACCTCCCAAGACATGATTGCTTCTACTTTCTTGGGGTCCATCTTCAAACCTTCTGTAGTCGCAATGAACCCGAAAAATTCCATCTCCGTCTGGTGAAATGAACACTTTTCTAATTTGGCATATAGTCCTCGCTTGCGTAGTTTCTCCAAGACCAAACGAACCTGCTCCTCATGCTCTCCCTTGTTTTTAGAGAATATTAGAATATCGTCCAAGTAGATGACAACAAAATCGTCGAGGTGTTCTCGAAAGATGTCATTCATCATATGTTGAAAAACCGCTGGAGCATTGGTAAGACCAAAAGGCATGACATTATATTCGAAATGACCATACCTTGTACGGAATGCTGTCTTCCACTCATCTCCTTCCTTGATTCGTACGAGATTATAAGCTCCCCTTAGATCAATTTTTGTAAAGATCTTCGTACGTCCAAGTTGTTCTAAGAGACTAGAAATCAAGGGTAATGGGTAACGATTTTTCTTTGTTACCTTGTTGAGGCCTCGATAGTCCACACACATCCGTAATGATCCATCTTTCTTCTTCACAAATAAGATGGGTGCTCCAGCTGATGATTTTGAATGATGAATGAAATTCTTGGCTAGATTCTCGTCGATGTACTTTCGCAACTCTGCCAACTCCGTTTGCGATAGATTGTAGATTGGGCCAAAAGGTGGTTGTGCTCCTTCTTGCAAGTATATGGCACAATCATATGGTCGGTGTTCCGGTAGTATGTTGGCGTTCTTTTTTTGAAACACGTCTTCAAAATCCTTATATTGCTCCGGTATACTTGCTGTTGAGATCTTCTCCTCGGTAGTTGGAGCCGCATAAATGACAAATGGAGTGCCTTCCTTAGATGATCTTATAAACGCTCTTGCTCCAATGAATAAGGATTTCTTTTTTCGAGGTTTTTTACCAGGTTTTTTCTTGGGTGGTTTTGTGGGAAAAGTCATCTTCCGCAACCTCCAATCTATCAATGGATTATGTTTTTCCAACCAAGAAAGACCAAGAATAATAGGATTTGATGGGGTTCTAATAATATTAAAAATAATATGACTACTATGGTCTTTAAACGTTACTTCTATAGGTTTTGATTCATGGGTGATGCTACCAGACAATAAAGGTCGCCCATCTATGACCTCAACATGAACAGGTTTTGATTTTTGTACTAAAGGGATCTTATGACGCTTTGTAAATTCTTCGTCTAAAAAATAAGCAGATGCTCCTGAGTCTAGTAGTGCTAAGGTTCTCAGTTTTTGAGGGCCGATAAATAGAGGGATTATAAAACAAAGTGCAGGTTGGG